ATTCCTATGTAGGTTATCACTGGTGTTGAACCTCTAGTCACATCATTAGGTTGACCCCAGGGAACATTCCTATGTAGGTTATCACTGGTGTTGAACCTCTAGTCACATCATTAGGTTGACCCCAGGGAACATTCCTATGTAGGTTATCACTGGTGTTGAACCTCTAGTCACATCATTAGGTTGACCCCAGGAAACATTCCTATGTAGGTTATCACTGGTGTTGAACCTCTAGTCATATCATTAGGTTGACCACAGGGAACATTCCTATGTAGGTCATCACTAGTGTTGAACCCTCTAGTCATATCATTTGGTTGGTTTGGATCTTACAATGAGGTCAAAGGACTAGTCTCGGGAGACCTCATTGTATGAGACAAAATACCTGGATCTCACAAGGATATCAAAGTTTACAGTTAGATCCTCGGCAGATTCATCATCTCAGCCGAAATTTTCACTTGTTGGTCTTACTGATTGATCTCCAATCTACGTGATATTAGATAGGATAGTTCTAATATACCAATATAACACACATATCAGTTAAACCTTGTCAGAAGTTAAACTCAAAAGCTATGCTCAATACACCAACATGATAAACTAGCTAGGCATGATGGTTGACTAGATCAGTTGTTATGAAAGTGTTGTCTCCCTTATTTCAGGTATGCAGCGTGGAGTTGTCAACATCACCACGAAGGCAGCTGTACAACAGATGTGGTTCCTTGACCCAAGTCTATGTCCTCAAGATGAAAACAATTACCCACCTTACCTGACCAAGACCACCGCCTACCTTCTGGTGCAGAGTAGTGATGGTGCCATGTTCTACCTCATGTGTGGGGCGGGGCTTCCTCTGGAGCCATATTGTGTGTCACCACCGTGAGTATCCGGTCAATAACGTCTACCTCATGTGTGGGGTGGGCTTCCTCTGTAGCTAACGTCTACCTCATGGGTGGGGCTGGCTTCATCTGGAGCCATATTGTGTGTCACCACCGTGAGTATCCGGTCATTAACGTCTACCTCATGTGCGGGGCGGGCTTCCTCTGTAGCTAAAGTCTACCTCATGTGCGGGGCGGGCTTCCTCTGTAACTAACGTCTACCTCATTTGTGGGTCGGGGCTTCCTCTGGAGCCATATTGTGTGTCACCACCGTGAGTATCCGGTCATTAACGTCTACCTCATGTGCGGGGCGGGCTTCCCCTGTAGCTAACGTCTACCTCATGTGTGGGGCTGGCTTCCTCTGGAGCCATATTGTGTGTCACCACCGTGAGTATCCGGTCAACAACGTCTACCTCATGTGTGGGGTGGGCTTCCTCTGTAGCTAACGTCTACCTCATGGGTGGGGCTGGCTTCCTCTGTAACTAATGTCTACCTCATGTGTGGGTGGGCTTCCTCTGGAGCCTTATTGTGTGTCACCACCATGACACTGTATCAATAACGTCTACCTCATGTGTGGGGTTGGGTGTTTATCTGGACATGAAAGTCACTCTGCGATCAGCCCTAATAGCCAAGGCTTTCTAGTGTACAATTACTGGCTTTTGGGTCATTTACATCTTCACAGCAGCTACAGGTGACAACAGTTCTTCTGTTTGTGATGCCACTCAAGTAGTTCTATCATTTCTGACATGGAATCTAGGCAGATTGATTAATGTAATGGTAGATTTATTAGCTTTTTTTAAAGATTTTTGTTTATTCAATAATGTTTTGTAATACTTTTTATTGTAGTGTGGACATAGAAGAGAACATGTTTACAAGGGTAGAACCTGTTCCAGGGAAACCAGAACTGGTACGTTGGAAGTTTCTGTGATTCTCAATCTCAAGTTATTAATTATTAATCAAATTTCATTAAAACAATTCACTGATCTCACTATACCAGAAAGTTATGGCATGTTTGGTAATAGGTATATATTTGATTGTGTACATTTGTATATATACAAATAGGAATGTTATATAAATAAATTACCATATAATGGTGGGACGAAAGGTGTTAATTTATATTTATAACCAAAACCACTGCTGATTAATGGATAGAATGATAGTTGATAAACAGGGGCCATGGTGGTCGAAATATATTACATTTTATGATATTGTTTCAGACAATGGTTGTGCTAAAGAAAGGTGCAATTCAGATCAAACACACTTTAAATGGTAATGTGTTGTGTGAGGCCAAACTACCACCCACCCATCAGCTGGTCACTCCCTGGGACCCCATCATCACAACAGCATGTAGGGGGGAGCGCCTGTTTGTCAGAGGTAAGTGATTGGCTCCTAATATTGCATAAATACATGTTGCCTTTTTTCCTATAAATGTTATAACAAATAGTTAGACTAGAAAAGTGTTTTTCTTTAGAGCAAAAGAGTTCATTGTGTAAATATTTTGTTGAGCTATAGCTTGTAACTAGCAATGACGTAATGGCTTTCCTTAACACTCTGTTACAGTGTATAGTGAGGTTTTGTTCAGAAGCATTGTTCATTGATAATTTGCCATAATGAAGAAAATTCCAGTGTAATCGTTCATACACAATATTATGTAAAGGAGAGGCCAAAGTGGAGAAACCAATTGAGGAGGAGAATGAGACAACACCAGAGCCTCAACCAGAAGTGGATCCTGTAGCCAGCATGTTGTTTGTCTTCGCCCTCAAGGCCTTTGCTCCATTAGAGGAGTTTATGGTATCAGAAAGAACACCCGTAGCCTTCACCATACACACCACCATTGACAAGAGAGTTGATGCCCTAATGACAGAGAGGTAAGATTTGTCACAACTCTTCTTCTTTTTGATTTCTTGAAGAAAAGATTTCTTTTTGGAATCTACCTCTCAATATGGCACCTGTGGCCTTTGATTGGTTGAGGTGAGTATGGTTTTTGTTGATAGTTTGTGGGAGTGAATGGCCTACTTTTGATTTTCGAGATTCAACATGGCCACCATGGCCTCTAGACTTGGTTGTAACTGAGTTCGACTGAATTGACATTTTTATACTTTATGTTTGTTTTTCGTTCTTTTTAAAGGGTACATCGAAAACTATGGTCATTTAGAGCATATACTCTTGTTTAATGGGTGGGTGAGTGGGTGGGGGTTTAACAAAAACAAAAAAACATAAATGAAAATGATTTGGGGGGGGGGGGGGGGGGGGGGGGGTTGTTTAACAAAAATAAAAAAACATAAATATTTATTGCAATTAAGGCATATTTTACATTTTTACCATACCGTATATTTTCCTTTTTGACCATTTTCATGGCAGACCCAGGGGTATTTGCCAGCCTTTGGCTTATAAACCTAGTTTGTGAAACAGCAATACTTCACAGGAAGAAGAATCAGTACACGTTTGGTTTGGTTTTGGTTTAATTTGTTAAACACCCATTTGACTGCTAAGATCATGCAGGGACGTTCCTATAAATACCTTACTGAAATACCATGATGAAGGCACCAATCACAAGATTCGACCGATCACATTATACTGACAAGGGTTTCACCAGTTGTTACAATTACCCTAAAAGCTGGGGATACCCAGGTAATGACATTTTAAAGGACATTGATATGTCCAGGGGGGACCAAACCAATTGCCATTACAACTTCAGGGAACAGGTCAACTTTAAGGCCAATAGTGAGTTATTGCAAAGAGAGGCACTAGGATGCAAAAAAAGGTTTGTAGGAAGTGGAAAGATCGCAGATTTTCAATGGGTGCAGCAGATAGGTTTTGGTTGCTGTTGTGTCCACAAGTAGGGGTAACAAAATAAATTTCCCAATACTGCTGGTGGTTCCCACATTAGTCGCCTCTTACGACATGTAGTGGGTGACAGCACGTATAGTCCTCTCAATCCCTGCCTGACAGAGGTTCAGCAGGTATAGTCCTATCAATCCCTGCCTGACAGAGGTTCAGCACGTATAGTCCTCTCAATCCCTGACTGACAGAGGTTCAATAATATTTGAGTACAATGAAGAAGAAAGTAAGAGAAAGGGATCAAAAAAGTTTAAAAATGAAGTTTGGTTTGGTTTTATTTAGTTTAACGTCTTATTAACAGCTAAGGTCATTTAAAGACGTGCATGTGTGTTGTCCATGCATGCATGTGTGTACATGTGCTGAAGACGGGGTATGTTGGTGTACTTGCCTTCTTATGATAGCATGGATCTGATGCCGACTTTATAGTGCTATATCGCTGAAATACCATAGCAAAGGCACCCAGCACAGCATCCCGCCCGGTAACATACTGACAACGGTTGAACCAGTTATCGTCATTACCCTTAATGCTGAACTTTAAGCAGGGAATAACAACTATCATTTTGAAGGACTTTGGTATGTCCCGGCCTAGGGACAAAACCCATTGGCTTCCTCACATGGACGAACGTTCAACATCAAAGCCAGATGTGAGTTATTGCCAAGCAAGTCGTTAGGAATTAATAGGTTAATAGAAGTAGAAAGAAAGAGAAAGATCCCAAATGTTGCAATGGGTGCAGCAGATATATTTTTGTCGCTTTTGTGTTCCCAAGTAGAGGGCACAAAAGCAAATCCACGATTCTGCAGGGGGTTCCCTCATTATGCGTCTCTTACGATATATGCAGTGGGTAACAGCAGGTGTATTCTTCCTCGATCCCCGACAAGAAGGGGTGTAAAAGTGAAGTATTTAATTTCTATTTTGACAATAACTATGGTTGCTATCCACAGAATTGCCCAGCAGGCTTTACGGAAGACGCGAATGCAGGATCGCTGGGGCCTAATGAAGGAGGAAATCTGGGCCATACTCCAGTACAAGGAACAAGCCGAGCGGCAGGCAGATCAGAGACCGGTCTATGTGAGTCTGACTCCACCCTTTTTACCCTTCCATCTGATGTTTGTTTCTGTTCTAACCTCTTATCAAAAAACATAATTTAAAAACTGGTGACATTTATACAAACTGCAGATGGTATCTCGTGTGTGGTAGTATCCCCTGTTAAACAATACAGATTCTTTACCCCGTAAAGTTTGTGTGGTAGTATCAACTAATAGACAATACAGATACTTTACCCCATGAAGTTTGTTTGGTAGTATGCCCTATTAGATAATTCAGGTACTTAAGACTGTTAAGTTGTGTGGTAGTATACTCTGTTAGGTATAACAGATACTTAACCCCGTAAAGTTGTGTGGTAGTATACTCTGTTAGGTATAACAGATATTTTACTCCATAAATATTCTCTGGAAAATGAAAAAAGAAACACCATATCAGAGGGGTTGAACACCATCAGAGGGGTTTGACACCATCAGAGGGGTTTGACACCATCAGAGGGGTTGGACACCATCAGAGGGGTTGGACACCATCAGAGGGGTTCGACACCATCAGAGGGGTTCGACACCATCAGAGGGGTTGGACACCATCAGAGGGGTTGAACACCATCAGAGGGGTTGGACACCATCAGAGGGGTTGAACACATTCTTTTGTTTTTTTTGTTTTTACCTAGTTAACTCTGAAGCTGCTAGTTTTTTATTGCACTAAAGCAGTTATGAGCTAGACGTTGTGTTTTTTTTATGTTGATGCCTTGCAGGTTTTTTTGAAGGTTATGCTTATGTTAAAAAGTTCATGCTTTTAATGTATATAATTTTGAATGAACATTCAGTTCAGTCAGTAGATGTAAATAACTTGCTGTTAAGCTATGAAAGTGGGTTAATAAAAATCTATAATTAGACAGTTATATATGCAGATATATGTATTATTTTCCAACAAACCATTTACATGCAATGCTCTTCCAAATGCCTCCCCCGTATTATTGTCCAAAATCAGCTTATTAGTGAAATGAAAACGAGGTATCAAATGGTCAACGTTTGCACACAAAAAAAGATGAGTCTGATTTAATTTATTTGAACATCTGTGTTACATTGTCTTACAGATAATAAGGTAGACATGAAAGTATGTCCAGTTACATTTTCACGTTGTAGAATAGATATAAGGAAGGTCTGTTTGTATTTTAAGGTGTATGATAAAACATAGTATTTGAAGATATTAGATAAATAATCAACTCAGGCCCCTTTTTCAATAATTCGTCTCGTCCTTATTTTGCATTGCACCATAATAAACATATACAAGTATTTTGAGGATCCTTTACATATGAACCCAGCTTTAAATCAAATTTAATGTACATTTGTATATCAAATTATTGTTATTTCATAGATTTCTTTTCAGAAGAATAAGTGCTGGATACCTATTGATATCTAAGGTCATCTACGTAAACGTTGATTTCCGTTTTTACTCACAATAGTGCATGCTTTTAATAATTGTTTTCATATATTTTATTTATAAACATTAGAATATCAATGTGATGATTTTCTTCCGACAGAACTATCAAACTATATACCATTACGAACAGGTATGTAAACTCATTAGTGTGTCAACTAAAGGTGTATAACTACCCTACTTACTCAGCATATATGTGTATACACTGATTTGTCTTTCTTTGCATGGTTTCCCTGTAATCCTGACTTACCATCATGTATACATGCTTTGTTACTTATAGTGTGAATGTTACTAACAGGACTTATCAATGTTACATTTAGGGGTTATTTGAGTAAAAACATAAACAGATTTTTTTTTTGTTATTATAAATTTTTAGCAGAAATATTATCTTTATAGAAATATATATAGTAATAAGTATACTTTACACGAGATGTATCTTTTTTGTATTTTGTGAATTTGTCGATTTGTCCATTGTGGATTCAAATACCTCACGATCCTTTATTAATGTACATGTATATTAAAGCAAAGGATTTTGCAAAAAATAATTGATTAAGTATTCGTTAAAATAAGGTGTTTACAGTACAAACAAAGTATTTTGAACCACTTTATCTCCTGAAATATCAATTGCGAAAAAAAGTTTTAAGACATTGTTTCATAACAACCAAAATACTTGTTCATATTGATGAGGCAAAGAGAAACATGATATTTGGACATTTTAAAAGTCTGATCAATGGTATGATGTCACATTTATTAGCTACACATTGTCTTCTTTTATTTGCTGATGAGCAGCCTTTTATATGCTGTGTTATAGAGAAAATGCTTTACGATAGCAGGATTCCATCAATGAGAATTCATTAATTGTTAAGTCTATAGATCGTAATTTCGTGTGAGGTTATAAATCAAATCAACAATACAAGATTTCTAAATCCGTCTACCTATTACTGCACACCATTGATTGTAGCATACACTTCTATTGTAATGTTTTCACTGTATGGCACTTTTATATGTTGACCTATGTCTGCACTGTTTGCCCTGTCAAATTATAATATCATAATGCACTTGTAACGTTGTACAATGGGTGCAGGGTCATATAGTACTTTGATTCAGTTTTCACATTGAGTGCCTGTTTTTTTCTGTTCGTGTATTTACATATGGAGTAATAAATCAAGTCTGCGATGCAATGATAAATGGAATTCCAGTCTGGTATAATGCATTTAGATGGTATCTATTCAATTTGAAGTTGTAAAAATCAATACCCCCCCACTCTTTTATTGGTGTTTTTTTTCGAGCCGGTATAATGCATTTTAATTTGGAAACAAATTGAAAAGAAGGATTATTATGTTCATTTTATTCTAAAAAAATAGCTCTAGTGCATTTGTTACTTCTTCATCATAGCTAACACTGGTATAACATTAATGTTGTGTGATGTGGTGTGTATTCGTTTGATTTTCAGGCTTTCTCCAATATATAATTATTTTCAATCACAACTTTTTGAACTCAAGGCTGTATTGCTAACTGGTGTAACCAAGAAATAAAACAGCAGAAAAATTCAAAAAAAGTTCTTATAATTACATTAAATATATTTATTTTTGTCTTGTTTATTAATGGAAACGTAGAGTAATGTATACAGGATGTGTTCAATGACTTTTGAAGATGAGCTGTGTTTTATACTTTATATACAGGATTTGAAGGTAACAATCAGTGATCTGTAAGTTGGGTATGTTAATGTTTGAGTCTGTGGCTCTCTTAACACGACGCGCACGAGGATATAACACGTTTTAAAACTGTTCACGAACTATCAGCACTGTGGTGTTTGTTTCAGCTACCATACAAAACTGTCTGACATTGAATTTGCCGCAACTTCATACATTTTATTGTTTTATGACGAATTCAATATTTTTCTGGTCAGATAAAAAGCATATGATCACCTGTCCTTTTTGTCGATTACTAAGTACCTTACATACAGGTCACGGACCATGGACTCGTTCCTGGTTTCAGTTATTTACCTTAAATATGTCGCGAATCTTTGTCTGAAATATAAAAGTATAATAATTGATATGATATTCAGCCATGTAATGTCGTGATATTCGTGCCCAACGAAAACGTGGCTGGATTGTTAGAAGGCTTTATCATACTGGAACAACATTTTACATGAAAATGCCGATATGTCCCCTAAAACATTGACTGGATTCTGGGACAACAAAATATGGGATACTGGATAGTAGGACTAGATTAACGTGTCCCGACTGTACATGGGTTTGTCTAGATAAATATTCGATGTTTAAGAGTAACCGCCTAGAAGTAACCGATATTTTGTATTTTTTAGGGACGTATTCCTGATCGGTCAGCACTTTGGTGTTAATATAACTTTAATGGGACGATCTGCTCTCAGTGTGAAGCTTCTGGAAGGAAGTAAAATCATAGGACTTCACCTAGTTATACAGCAACTGTTATCATATAGACTTGTCGATGTGCGTTTATGTAGTACTATTACAAACGGAACAAAAGCTTAACGGGGTAATGTGGGTAATATTTAAACAACCGAGTACCAAGTTATACATGAGCGATAGAACACGCTTTGAGTGCTGTATTTAAAGCATTACCGGTAAACCTCGCTCGGTTGCTAGCATTTCGTTATATAAGTGTTACTAGAGAGAATATTGCGATAACACCAAATTTGAAAATAACGAAATGTATTTGTAATGTCAGCTGAATATTAGTAAGCATCTACTTTCCATATATTTACAGCTTAATTATGTACTTCAGAACAATTTTATTGAATAAATGTATGCATTTTTCTTTCAGCGACATTCTGCTTCATAACTGCTCGTTATGCTAATGTTGTTGAATTGATATAAGAGTCTGTTTACTGGTACTGTACCGTGTAATACATTTTATATATATTTAACTCGTGTTTATCTGATGACTTTTGTGGTTCACAAACGTGTGATTGTTCTACTTGATTTCATCTTTACAGTAGTCCTAAGTAAGCAGACACTGTATGGTGAGGCCCTATCATTTAATATGCATCGTTATTGTAGATATTTTTAATTGCCTATATATATATATATTCACTGTTCACGTCTGTCCGTGACTCTGCCCAATCTTTGAGTCATTAAACACTTGCATATTTCTGCAGCATGACACTTTACTTTCAGCTTTCAGCAGTTAAAGCATTACACTTGCCTCCATTATCTGTTGTATATATTTCTCTCCTAACAAGGTAACATTCACTTTATAAAGATGTCTGCCAACTTTTTGCTGATCATATCCAAATATTGACGAACGGAATACACACTAGCGGTTATCTTGTTATTGGAAATTAGCAGTGAACAAAAGTCTCAGATATGAATTAGAATAATGGTCAGGATCTGGCTATGCTGCTGATTCGGTAATAAAATTAAATTTTTAAATTCATTTGTGAAAGGGAAGCAATTGTTTATTTTTTTAAATCTGGCAATGTTTCCTGCCTTATTTGCAACTATTTCATTGTTAATTATGAAAGTCTGGGGATTTTGTCGACGCGATATAGTCTAATAGATAAACAGTACCAGCATTTATAGGAAAGTAAAGCTTATTTCCTGCACCAACGCTTTGTAATAGCAACATGTATTCAGCCAAGCTTTGGGACGAGCACGTGTCATGTCGCTTGATTATAACATCATTATTACATATATTTTCAATTGTTTACTTTTATTTCTTATGGATTATTTTATATGACTAACAGCTTATATTATTTTTAACTATTTGGGATTTAGGTTCAAAAAGAATGTGATTCTTTTAACTTGTTATATTAAGTTCCATTTCTAGACATTTCATTTTAAAAATGTATTGTTTAATCAATGATAGGATAAGATTATCCACTATCAAATCAGCATCCTTAGAACTGAATTGTCCAAATATGATATATAATCTATTATGGGGAACTTTCAGTTAAAGTGATCGGTTGGCTTTTAAGTAAAGGTTTCAATTTTAGTAACTGGCTTTCTTCCATTATTATTCACTAGTATACAACTTGCAACTAATGACCTTACATGTTTTTTTTTATAAAATCAGTATACCGAAATAGATCATTTAACCGACGTTTGATATAGTGTAATTGTACATTTGATATGGTTATTATCAGTTTGATAACGAAATATCTTTAGCATACATGTCTTCACATATATATTATGTTTATGTCCTTTTACATGTTGTTGATGATATCCAGCAAACGTGGAGACAAATGTTAAGCTATGATTTATAAATATATATATATCCAGAGGATATCAAATGAGTAATGGATTGATAATGATTTGAGTGCACATTGTACATGCTATTGAATGAGTGATTATTGATTAGGTTTTATCTATATAGTGGATATCTAGAGGGTGACGATTGATTAGGATTTATCTATAAAGTTGGTATTTAACAGGTGATGATTTATTAGGATTTATCTATAAAGAGGGTATCTAGAGGGTGACGATTGATTAGGTTTTATCTATAAAGTTGGTATTTAACAGGTGATGATTTATTAGGATTTATCTATAAAGAGGGTATCTAACAGGTGACGATTGATTAGGTTTTATCTATATAGAGGGTATCTAGAAGGTTATGGTTAATTAGGATTTATCTACAAAGTGGGTATCTAACAGGTGATGATTGATTAGGATTTGATGTCTGATTAGGATTTATATATAGAAGAATAATAAAACCATCCCCTACCTTGCAGGCATCACAGAGAAAAGTCCATCCCGAGAGATGATAATCTTGATTGTCTTACCCAAGACTTTGCGGAGGGTAAGACATTCGAGAATATCATCCTGATGGTTGGATATTTGTCAAACCCGCAAGGTTGGGATGATTGTTTTTCTCCCATCCTGTTTCATTCACAAATCCGTCGACAAGCGGTGATTGCATGAAATATAAGCGTTGGTTGCATGCTTTTTTAACAACTCCAGAGTTGTCTTCCACTGTCTGCTACTGATGACGTGACGTCATAGTATTGTTATGACTAAGATCGCGCCATTCTGTATGCCTGGGGCTATCTCGCCCTAGGGGGTGACATATAGAATCATTCATCCCCTTGGGGGTGAGCTAGGGGAATCTCAACACGAGGGGGAAAATTCTTAATTTGCCAAACACGAGGCTTTGCCGAGTGTTTGGCAACGGAAGAATCTTTTCCCGAGGGTTTAGATTCCTCTATCTTACCCACAAGGGGGTGAATGATTCTTTTTCTCTTACCCTGTTCTTCCAATGTGTATCATATACACAATGTAATGACAACGCTACATGCTAAATTCAGGGTTGACGTGTCGTTGATGTGACGTCATTGTATTGTTGAAGTGACGTCACACCATTGTTATGAATAGGGGAATCCCCCCGTCTCAGCCCTAGGGCGGAGACAGATAAATCTAGCACCGGCAAAACGGGAGATAAATCTGTCAGGTGTGGGAGAAAAGCTTATCTTTTCAGGCTTAAAAGGGATATACACATGCGAAGGGAGGGGGAAACATATCTAACGTTAGAGTGACCATTGAATAGGATTTATATCTATAAAGATGATAACTTACGAGTGATAATTTGTTAGTATTTATATAGAGAGAATATCTAACGACAGATGACAAATTTGGATTGATATCTATATAGAGGATATCAAACGGATGACGATTGTCTAGCGTGTGATGATGAATTTTAATTTATAGATATAGAGAGGATATCTAATGGATGACGATTGTCTAACATGCGATGATGAATTTCGATTTATATCTATATAGAGGATTTCAAAGAACTAATAATTGATAAACATTCATATCTATAAAGAATATATCTATCAAGTGATTTCGCCAGTATAACCTTAAATCTTCAATGAGTAAATTGTGTTCCAAAAGGAACAAGCGACAGTTGATACAAATCGTAATTGATCAATATCAGCTTAATATTATGATTTTAACGTGAAGATATTTATTACAATGTGAAATTATCAAAAAAACACAAGTTTGGACACACGACACACACTGTGAAATTATCAAAAAATCTCAGAGAACAGTTTGGGTTATATGTCAATACAGAAATAATGTCTTTGTTCTACGAGTTGAACAGGAATGTATGAATCGAATGTGAACACAAAATAGCAATTTTTTTCTACTAGCTGAAGACAGACCCCCTGAGTCAAACGTTAGCTTAACATCACTTTTCTTTATTGCACGTGCTACAGATAAATACATTACGAAAAAGTTAACACAAAGCTCTACTAATTGAACAAGTGCATGAGACATTTTTTTTATATATTCTTTGTAATTCTAGCTGAAAACAAATGCATGAATGTAATCCCAGAACACACTGTTTCCTGTGTAATCTGTTCCTGCTTTGTGTCCCTACGTGTATATTTACTCGGATACTACATAGAATGATACTTACTGTTGTCACAAACTTGACAAACAAAACAATTATGGAAAGTAATTATTGTAGGAAAAATATGTGTGAAATTGCTTTATTGTGACGTTAACTATAATACAGTACAGATAATATGCAAGCTGTTATTACTGCTCTAATCATTTTACCTCGTGTTGATGTTTATTTGTCTAATCTATGTGATTTAATATAGAATGTATTAAGTGTTTATTAGCATGATCTAAACTATATTAGCTACCAAGCCTTGCTAATTCTAGAGGTCATCATATTCATATTTGTGAACGATTTAGTTATCCGACTTTTGATTATAAATGTAAGAATCAAAAACTTGCAGTGGACTGTTCCATTGCGCAGTGTTCTTATGATTAAGGATAGAAATGATTGTTAACAGCGATTTTTTTACTTGTTTCAGACTCCTGGTTCCATTGGATGGGGAACTGCTCTGTTCAACTGAAGAGCTGTGCAGCAGTATATAAGGAAACGTTCCGGTAATTCAAATCAAACGTATTTTTGTACGTACCATGGGAGCTGACATTCGTATACTGGATAACCACAGGGTGTCTGGAAAGTACGTTGAGTACAACTTGACTATGTCTATTGACTTGTTAAACAATGACCAAAACAATTGATATACTGAGTATTGGGGATAGAAGCATACATCGCAGATCGGATATGGAGAAAAAGAGATATGTTATAGTGTGTGCGAAAAAGTGAAAGAGACCGAGACATGTAAAAGCATGTGAAAAAGGTTAGGGAGTACGGATGCGAATAAGAAGTGGAGAGAACAAGAGAAAAACATGGGGGGGGGGGGTAACGTTATTCAATATGTGTAAATAACAACCTTATAACTTTATAAGGTATATACAGTGTACATATATTTTTTGTAAATTAAAACTGTTTATATACGTTGTGATAAAATTTGTGACATAAACGAATTAAATGCATGTTTTAATGTTTTTTGTTTTTTACTTCAACCTCTATATTGAATATACAAACAATAAGTTGTTTTGACAGGCTTTGTTTTTACATTCTATGGGTGATATATTTATTGTTATATTTTAAGTTACCTGTCTTGAAAAGCTTTTTGATAAAATCAGCCTCATGTAGACACAAAAGAAAACACCACCGGAGAGAGTATAGCTTAACACCCCATCCGTCCGTTTTCTGTCTTTCGTCCGTTAATAAATTGTCTGGGAATATAATTTCTGGGACGCGGTGTTAAATATCTTAAGATACAATGTCTGCAAAGGGACTATTTCCAGCTATGCTAAATTTACATAGGAGCCTCATAACTTTCGTTTCAGAAGTGCTACGAGATTAATGCTGCTGTATTCACTTTTTTTCAATCCCTTATACATCCGATGTTATTACTTTGAATCATTAACATAATGGCAGCATGGGGGTCGAAAAACGGAATATCAGCCTGAATGTCTTTTTCGGAAAAAAAAATCATATTTGTTTTCATCATACTTGGGAGAGGACAATTTCTTTCATGTGATGCTAAATAATATATTTATCATCCAGAATGTGTGGATAATCGAACATTTTAATGTAAAATACATAATTTTTCATTCTTATTATTCTTGTATACCAAACATTTTCATAGTATGAACACGTGGTGTTATTTCAAGTATGTATGCAAAAATTCAGTCCAAAAAAAAGTGGTGGAAAGTATTCATTTCACACAATAAAGTACCATGTGTACCCAAAACGGTGAGGTCCTAACACCTCCCTGGCGTCTATCAGAAAGCAATGCACCTGATTACAGGTAATTGACAATGAAATTTCGTTGCAAGCCTACAATAAACCTTTAAGTGCATGTTAGGTCACAAACAATTCAAAATTCAGTTTTGCTTCATCATTTGGCGTGTTTTTGTTAACAAATAATTTTGACATCAAATGTAATATATCCTTGTCACTTTTTAGAATTTGTTCTTATACATTTTGTTATCATTTTTAAGGTTATTTTATCATTAGAGTTTTCTTTTTACGTTGCTTTTAGGGGATATTTCATACTTATTTGCTAATATTCATCTCATAATGAAGAGTAAATGTATTGGTAAAGGTTGCCATTGTGTCTTCAAGAAATCTTGTAAATGTAAAGGTACAAGAAATGTGAAAAACCCACAATATAAATGACTTTTGGATTAACTGACAAAAAGTGGCATAGATTACTCGAATGAAGATATTAGTATTTGTCCGAAGTGATACATAAGGTAACATGTATCTGTGCAAAAGAAAGTCTGAAACTGAACGTTTGGAAGATGAAACTAATAACAATAACGGACCTGTTTTATGGGTCCTGTTCACATAAAAAATGTTGTCTTTGTTTGAACAATTTCAATTCGAAGAAAAGCAAATCCACACTTCTGCACACAAATTGTGGTGTTCTGCTTCATCACGTGTATGCTCATTTCATCTTATTGGCAATGACCTGAACCCAAGTACAGAGGTTATCCTACATGGAAGAGAGCCTTTGGTTTCTCATCTATTAAGTAGGTCATCTGAAATAATCGATGACCTTTGAGAAATGTCGTACATCTTATCACAGAATCAATCAGCCTTCACTCAACTTTTCTCTCTTGGATGACACTGGCTGCAAAGCTTGGACAGGTTGGTCCAAAGTACAGTTTCTCAAAATCCATTCGTACATGGTCCCATTTCTTTCTCTTTCAGTATATACCAAAAATACACAAATGCTCTTTTACTGTCTGAGTTAAGATGAAAACTGATATCATTTGGAATCAGTGTTCCGCTCTTTTTGGCATTTCCCTGTCTCGTATTTCAAAAACCATTCATTCTGAAGTACAAGAATTGAATAAATCTATAGTTACAATGTTTCTTGGTCCTCACCATTTGAGGAGGGAACAGATACATTCAAACAATACTGTATTCTCAGAAACATTCTTTGGAGACAAAGTGACTGCCATACTAGATGGTACATATACAATGTATTCATATTCAAAAGTGCTGACCATAAGCTTCAGGGAATGTCTCACTGTGGCCAGAAGAAGCAAAATTATCTTAAATTCATGAGCATAGCTCTACCTAATGGCTACATTTTGGACACAGTAGAAACATTCTCTGGAAGCCAAAATGATGCAAGCATCACAAAAAAACATCATAAACAAGCACATATGGTTGGAGCAAGACGACAATGTAGTCGTTGATCTTGGTTTTAGAGATGTCCTGCCGATGTTAGAGGCATCTAGTATTAATACCAGTATGCTCTCATATCTTACGCCTGGTCAGAGCCAACACTCTGATCTACAGGCTAACATTCACAGGACAGTTACTAAATCCCCAAGGATTGTAGCGTCTTATCATGGCCGCCTTAAGCATTGGACATTTTTTAGAACTCAACTAATATAGAATTGAGGAAGTGCTAAAGATTGTGACTGCATGTCTCAATGGGATACGGGGATAAATTTACTAAAGATCACCAAAAACTAATAGAACAGACAGTTATAAATTATTTAAAAAATCTTTTTTTATTAAAGTTTAGGAGAAATATTGAAGAAACTTGAAGCCGAATACTGTTGTCAGTATTTAAATTTGACTTTTTGATCGTTGACAGGATTTAGATGGGTTACAAGAAAGCTGACTTGAGCACAGAATCCATGCTTGAGCATGAGAACGGTTCCATGAATACGGGCCCAGAGCGATGATGGAAATTATGAAGTATGGGTGTATCGGCACTCTCAAGACCTCATCCGTTGTCAGATTCGTTCCAGACACAAGAGCCAGACTAAATATAATGTTTGTATTCAGTACAGCATGACGCCAAATGATAGTAATCCAATAAAAGATTACTACTGCCAATGCCATGTTGGTAAAAGAACTATGGGAATGTGTGCTCATACATCAAGTACACTTTATTATCTTGGCTATCATATCTTCAAAATCCAGAACAGCTGCACCACAGGACTAAGAAGTTCCGACAAAGCTTGAAATAAGTTGTTTTCTTGTGAATCTAGAATTACCAGTTTAAAAACAAACTCAAAACTTCGCATACTTTTTCCTTTCCTTCTATTTTCCAAGTCTGTCATTCGAACACATTTGATAATCTTGCATCTTACAAAACATTATCTGTAAATGTCATCAGCTGTTAAAAGGGCGTCTAACTTTAAAATATATAAAAAAAACTAAGTAACAAACAAACACACAATCTCAATATCTGAATACCGGAATACCATTGATATTGCAAGAACGTTGTCTGGGAATCTGACAACTGATTATGCAGTAAAATGAATGTTTTGGTGGCCATCTTGAAAAGGAATAAACCAGTGATTCTTTTCAAAACATCTTCTCTGTTGATTAGATATTGATTCCATATATTGACAAATATTTTCTTCTTTCCTGTCAGTTTTCAGTCATAATTGTCTGGTAAATATCATTGCTTGAGATGGCTTCTGACTGTTGATATGTCTGTAAAGATCTGATAACTCACCATAGCAAGGGATTTTTACATGTATACTGTAGCGTATAATCCCAGGTTTTCGTTGCATCATAAATGATCCTTCAGTACATTGTAGGTTTGACAACATACGTCTTTTGGGGAGAAACTCCGGCTTTTTGAGAAAATTGAAATCAAAGGAGGGGCAATTTTGGAACCCCCCGCAATTAATTTAAGTTCATTAATTTAATATAAATTGTTTCGATGAAATAAACAGGAATTAGAGAAGCCATGAACAAGAAAACGTAAAATGAACTTATTTTTACAAAAATTATACATACCTTTTCATATTTTAGCTATTCTTGAAAAATATAGCACATCATCTGTAGTAACATTGACGATATTACTGCTCAGATCTTGCATACCTATGCCACAAGGGATCCGAGAGGAAAGTGTGATTTTACCATAATTAAAATGCATTTATAAAGCTTTTTTCAAAAAAGCAAAAGTGTTTTGTGTGGCAGTGATCTCCTTAATGGTCATTTTGAAAATCTATTTGTAAATAGAGGAGGACAACGACAAATACCTAAAGACAAAACATTATTAATATCGACCTTGGTGGACCTTGACGTTGTGTAAAAAAAGGCATGAAGAACGAAAATGAATCCTTTCCTATTTAAATTAAAAGTTTTGCCTTTGTGTTTCCTTGGCTTGCTCGACACGTATACCAGCGATATTGAGAGATATAAGTAATGCAAACATCAAAGTCATTTGCTATTCCTTTGATGTTGTCGATCTCTTAAAAACAACAATTCTTATTTCTTTTTCCTGGAAAAATATCGATCAACTAACTTCCGTAGTTCCTAAAATGTATATAACTCTTCTTTATGATCTCGTACGTTGCATTTTTTATCGTTTTAATTTTGATTTTCAGTGCACATGTTATGTTGACCTGTTAACTTTTAGGAGCAATACTTGCTTCAAAAGCAGTTGTCGGAGAAAATTATTTAAACATTATTCCCAATAGATTTGAAGGCGGTCAAGGAAAGGGGAACTGGTGGTATATATCAAAACTTCAACACTGCTCTGTTCGCTCAATTCT